CGGCCGGGTCACTGCAATAAAGCGTTTTTCCAGTAGCCCCTTGCCCGGGTTTCACTCATCAAGCGCCACCCGACAATTGTGGTTTGTCTCACATCTGAGCACCTGCCGCTTTCCTCAGGTTCAGTAGCAACATGCCCTGCTTGTTACTGGGGTTACACATAGTGCCTGCGTTGTAATATCACTGTTATTGCACCTTTATTGACCTGTCACAACAAAAATAATTCTGTTTTGATTACAGTAGCCTTAATCCTGACTTTCCTGGTAAACAGTTTTCTGTATGTGATGGTGAAGTGGCACTGGAAACTTACTGGACCTCAGTGGAATTAAATCACAAGTTGAAAGTCGAGCCTCGTACCAGCTTTCAAAGCAACAGCCTGCTGCTTCTGTCTGTCTGTTCTCAGTACACTGCTCAGTGAATGCTGCCATAAATAACACTTGTTTTCCTTTCTGGCAGTCATCCACAGCATGTGCTTGGCACCCCTGTTGACTACTGCATCTCCTTTTCTGTGGCTTTCTCTTCCACCACAAAATCAGTTAGCAAGATGTGTTGTTTTAGGATATTACATTAATCAAAAGTAGGGCTGAGAAGTTTAGAATGAGCCTTGAAACTGCTGGTGCAAGGGCATGTTTTTAAGGATTGGCATTTTTTATCTGCTTATAGCATGGTCCATGTTTGTGGTGTGTTTGGGCAGTCAGATCTGCAGCCTCTGATGTATGGTCTCTGATGGGAGTTTTGTCTACAGAGTCCTGAGCTTGACTGAGGCAGTTCAGTGGCAGCTGTGACAAGATTTGGGTGTCCTGAAGCTGAGCAGAGCACTGCTGGGACAGATATGCATTGTGGTGAACTGGAGCAGGCACTGGGGATTGTTATAGGGCTGATGTTAAAGAGTGTTTGTGGGATTTGTCCCTGCTGCCAGTCTTAGTTGTGCCCTGGGCAGCTCATGGGCAACATGAGGTGAGGAGTTTGTGCCATGGAGAAAACCCTTGTGTTTGTGCTGTTGCTTGATGTAGTTTGTGATTCTTTGAGGGTTTCAGAGTTAGCACAAGGCTCTGCTCCCTGGCTTGTGTGATGCAGCAGAGCTCAGAACTGGGGGTGCCAGAAGTCCTCTCGGAGTTCAGTTTTGTGGCTGCTGTTCATTCCCCCACTTCAGCTTCACCAGTGACCCAAGAGTATTTGCTCTGGCCCCTGCCAGCCCTCAGAGCTGGGTGACTGGGATACAGTGCCTTAGAGAGCTTCTGGAATGTCCCTGTGGGGTCAGCCTGGTCCCTGTCCCCTGACAAGGGAGGCAATTGGCATCTTCACACTTGGTCTGGTGATTGCCCTTTAGGGATGCAGTGTAATATCAGCACCACAGAGAACCAGGGCTGGTGCAGGGCTGCAGAAGAATGGGCAATGACACTGCTGCAGCTGCCTGGGACACTCCAGCAGGGAGAAAACCAGACAGGGATGTAGCCAGAGCAGAAAGTTGCAGTGAATGACTTGGAATGTGGGGTCACCTGCTCAGCTCAGGGGCTGTGTCTCTGCTGCAGCTCTTGCAGGGTTTGTTGTGAGCCAGACAAGGCGGCAGGAGACTGCAGATGTCACTGTAGTATTTCAAAATAACTTTAAATTTTATTTATATCTTAAAAATAAACATTAGTATTAAAATACCAGTAAACAGAGTAGTGTATTAGGGAGTGCAGCAAGCGCTGTATATGAACTCCAGTGCAAAGCTGAGCAAGTTTCTGGGCAGGGCTGTGGGGCTCCCCAGCTCAGAGCAGGCCAGGCAGGGGCAGCAGTGGGGAGGCTGGGCCAAGGAGCAGGGATGGGGGCCACAACACCCTACCTTAGTGAAGGGCTCAGAGCAGAGCTGCATTGCCATGCTAAACCCTTCTTCTGGTCCTTGTCCTTACCCTGTTCCCACCCCACACAGTGCTCACACACTTGCACAGGCACGTTCTGTGACATTCATGTTCCCTTTGCAGCCTCCACGTGTGTGCTCTGAGCTCTTCTGGCCCGATGTGTTTTTCCTGGTGTTGTCTTCAGCTGTTCTCCCTTTTGGGATGGAAGGTGGGCAGAGGGACTTTGCTGTAGGCTCTGGCTGCAGTCTGTGGGACCCTAATTCCCTGGCTAATCAGGGAAATGTTTAGGAAGTAATTGGTCTCTCTTCCTTGGGAGAAGGACCTGCTCCCCTTGTGGGTTGTAGGATAGGCAGATTTAGTCCCCAAATGCATCCTCAGCCCCTTTTGTCACTTGGCTGCAACCCTAACTGCTCAGAGGTTTTGCTCCCATTGAGCAAATCAAATCCCAAGTGATTTCATGTTGAACTTCATCCCTTGGCCAAGCAATATAATTTTTTTGCTTTGTATGCACGTGCTTGAAAAGAGGAAAAAAATCAGATTTCAGCCAGGAAAGGAAATGTCAGAAAAGAAGGGCAAGTATATGAGTCTGGAAATACTCCCAACCCCTATCCAAGGCAGTATTCCCTCTCCCATTGCTGAACAGATGTGCCTGCAGAGCAGTGTCCCTGCTGGGGCCAGGACCTGTCACTTGCCCTCCTGGCTCTGTGTCACTGGCACTGCTGCCTTCTCAGAGCTGCCAGAGCACAAACCAGGTGCTGTTTCTGCTGGGTTGGGTCTCTGCCGTTCCTCCTTGCAGAGGTGGCACAGCTCCAGTGGTCATGGCAGGGAGCACAGGGGATGGGGTGGCTTCTGCTCCCTGCATGTCCTGCCCCGAGGTCACTTGGCTCTGGTGACTTGGTGGTGAGGTGGCCACGTGTGGGTGCGTCCAGCGGAGGAGACGGGTGAGGGAGGTGCAGGGATGGTGCTTGTGGCAGGACTGAAGCTGCAGAGCGGTTTGGCACAGAGAAGTGGCAGGTGGGGGATGTGAATCACAGCCCAGTGCTGGTGGTGGCCCCTGGCTGGATCCCAAGGTCACTCTAATTTGGTTTCTTCAGACTCCCAGGGCTCTTTGTGGTTGTTGGTGAAGTCTCCTGCTGCAAAGAGAGCAGTCGCCTGAGACCCCTCCAGTGCCTCCTGGTCAGGGCCAGCAGGGCTGTTCTGAGCATGTGGCACCTGCAACACTCTGCTCTTGCTCCTACAGCCTCTTGCTGGAGACACCTGTGTGTGTCTCAGCCCTGTCCCCTCCCATGGGGAGTGCTGAGGTACTCACGGGTACCTTGGTGCTGGTGAGGTGGGTGTGGAGGAGTGCAGCGATGTCACTGTGACCGGCCTCCAGCGCGATGGCAACAGCATTGTTACCGTCCTAGAAAGAAAGGAGAGCGTGCAGGAAGGGCTTTGGGGACAGGGGCTGCCCAGGCCCAGTGGCAGAGCCTTACACTGTCCACGATGGAGACGTTGCAGGTGGGCTGGGCCAGCAGCAGCCTCACTGTCTCCAGGCGGCCGTGCTCGCAGGCACACATGAGCGCCGTGGAGCCCTCCTCGTCCTGCAGGTTCACATCGGCCCCGCAGGCCAGCAGGGCTTCCACCATCTCCTGCCGCCCGTGGCTCACAGCCAGCATCAGCGCCGTCTGGCCAGCCTGCAAGGGAGGGACACTGCCAGGCCACCCCTGCCCCCCTGTGCTGCCCAATTGTCCCCACACCACAGCCCTGCTGCCAGGCAGGAGGAGGAGGAGGGCATCCTAAGGTGATGCCCTCCCCATGCACTGACACCTCCAGGTTTTGGAGCCATTGTCCTGCCCTCAGAAGAGCTGAGCGTGGCTCTGGCATGTGCCTGGGGGTGGGAGGATCAAGATGTGGTGGCCCTCAGACTGCACCAACCTGGCTGGCCTTGGCGTTGACGTTGCCCATGCTGAAAAGCCTCCTGACCACATTCATGTCCTCCTCCTGCTCAACAGCTGCCAGTGCTGCCAGCATCAGGGCGGTGTACCCAGCTTTGTTCTGGTGGTCCACGTTACAGATCCCTGTGGGAGTGGGCAGAGGGGGCTCAGGATGCTGCAGGGCTGGTGGGAGACATGGACCAAGCCACGTGCCTGGCTCCCCCTCACAGTCCTGCCCACGGTGCTGTGAACCTTCCCACAGGCACAGAACTGCTGATGGATCTGCCCCATGAAATCTGGACTCCCAAACAGGCTGGGGTGCCTTCTGACCCCCACAGCTATGAACAGACACAGCCCAGGGTAGCTCTCCTCGCCCTCTGCTGCCAATGCCTTTTCCCTGTGCTGACAGGGCCAGGACATGACCTGGGTACACGGGATGGTGGCCAGGGGATGTTTCTGGGGCTGGGGGGCACTGACCTGTATCCAGCAGCAGCGACACGATGTGGAAGTTGGAGTGGGAGACACTGTAGTGCAGGGCTGTGTTGCCATTCCCGTCTGCCAGGTTCACCACGTGGGCCAGGAGAGCTGGTGAGAGCTCGGCAAAGGCCAGGAGGTGGTTGGCAACCGTGTCAGGGATGGACGACTTTTGGCTGGACAGACGGAACCACTCCTGAAGGACCAGGCTGCTGCTGGCAAGCTGTGGGCAGAGAGCTCCCCCTAAGCCTCTGCATGCCCTGGCACCCACCCCCGGCTGGCAGCCCAGGTGGCAGGGAGCAGAATCCCTGCTCCAGAGGCAGTGGGTGAAGGCAGGACCCTGAACTGCCCAAACCCATGCTGGGCATAGCCTCAGCTGAGTCCACATGGGGGGTTTGGGGTTTCTGGACAAAACCTGGAGCCAAGGGCTGTATTTTGGGGGAAGGTGCTGAGCCAGGCTTTGCTGGCCCCTCTCTGACTAGGGCCAGCTCTGGGGGATGTTGGCAGGGACTGGGCAAGCCATCCCTCCCCAGCACTCCACTCACCACCTCTTTGCTCTTGGCAGCACCCGGGTGGCCCAGGTGGGTCTTGACAATGAGGCAGGCCTCCCTCATCCTGGGGCTCAGCTCGAACCTGTGGAGAGCATGAGGATGTGCCTGGTGTGGGGCTGCATCACCCACCAAGCCTGTGAGCTCTGCAGTGCCTGGAACTCCCCACAAGGTCCCCAGAGTGCAACCTCCAGCCCTGTGGCTGCACCCTGGCTGCTCCAGCCTCTGCAAACCACCATAGAACAGAGCCTTATATGGATGTGCTCAGGCACCATTCACCCATTCTTGGGCCACATTTTTTCCTTTTGTTGAAAAATGCTATTGAAGGCTGTTGTTTTTTTTGTCCCCCTCTAAATTATTTTCTGCAGCAAAGAAGCATTTGGGGCCTCTCATCCTTTCCTTAGCAGACCCAAGAAACTGGAAGGATTGTTCCTGATGAATGGTCTCTGCAGCTGAATGGGTTTTTCCCACTGGCAGCACTGAAACTGGGGCAGATGCCCCGACCTGGCAGGGCCAGTACCATGGCTCCCAGCTGACCAGGGAGCAGGGAGCCTTCTCCACTGGCACTTACTTTTCCTTCACCTCAGGGGGCTCCAGAAGGGTCACATCAGTCCCCTTGCACTCCAGTCTGGGCTCGCAGGTGCCTTCTCCTGCCTCCTCTTCTGAGGTTTCGGTGTCTCCCTGCTCTGAACTGTTGGAGCTATCGGCCGAAGCCTTCTCAGAGGAGCTGTTGCCTTCTTCATCCTCCTCACTGGATGTGCTCTCATACCTGCACAGAGGGAGGATGCTCAGGGGCAACACAGCACCACTCTCTGGCCCCCTTCAGGCCCTGCCACTGGCCCTAGCCCAGGACAGGGATGCAGGGGACCAGGATGGGCTCGCGGGGGTGGCGGAGCCCCTGAACACGTACTCCCCGTTCAGCACGCCCACAAACTGCAGGCTCTTCTTGCTGCCCTCTGCCTCGCTCCGGGGAGGACCATCCCGCTTCTTCATGATGGACTTCAGGGCTCCTACAGGGAAACAGATGGATGCCAAAAGCCAGTGAGCAAGAATCATAGAATTTTAGAATTCTATGGATTCGTCTGGGTTAGAAGGGACCTTAAAAATCATCTCATTTCAACTCCACTGCCCTGGTCAGGGACACCTTCCATTAGACCAGGTTGCTCAGAGTTCCATCCAACCTGGCCTTAAACACTTCAGGGACATCCACAACTTCTCTTAAGTAATCTGTGCCAGGGCATCACCACTTCATAGTAAGGAGTTTTTCCTAATATCTAATCTAAACCTACTGTCATTTTGATACCGCTCCCCCTTGTCCTGTCACTACATGCTTATGTAAACAGTCTCTCCTGGAGCTAGCCAAGCACCCCAAACCCATTAGACTGCCAGACAGGCATGGAAGGGACATGGGCAACTGCTGGAGCATGGGTAGCATTGGCCCTGCAGGCATTGTCCCCAACAAGGCCATCCTCTCCCTTCCTGCAGGAACATTCCAACCCAGACCCTGGCATCATCCTGGTGACACTCACCGGCTGCAGGGCTTGGGGCAGCTCCACTGTCCTGTGCTGGGGCTGGGTCCCGGTTGCTGTCTGTTGTCTCCAGCACAGCTGGCCCAGGGCCTTGGCTCTCTGGGCACGTCCCTGCCGTTGCTCCTGCACCCGGCACCAAGGGGCTGCTCAGGGCATCACCCCGGCCAGGCTCCATCACCTCACCTGCACCGGGCTCCTTCTCCTCTCCTGCCAGGGCAACGCTGCCCACATCTGTCTGGCTGCCCTTGTCATCGCAGCTGGTGGCTGAATCGGGTCCAACTGCCACGTCACGCCCGTCAGGGCGGCAGCCCACGGCAACACAGGAGGTTGGGGGGCAGCACTCCACACCTGCCTCTGCTGTCTTTGGGGGGTCACCAGCTGCCCGGCTCTGTGTCACTACCACAGCCTCCACCAGTGCCTCGGCCACCTGTGGCACGGCCATCACCTCCTTGTCCACCTGTCCGCGGGGCCGGCGGGCGCACACCTCCAGCCGCAGCTCCTCCAGCTCCCGCGTGGCCTCCTGCAGGTGCCCCTCCATCAGGGTGATCACCTCCTTCTGGTGCCCTACCGTCTGCTGCAGCAGCTCCAGCTCCCGCTCTGCCTCAGTGGCCAGCCCCAGCGAGGACTCTGTCACCCAGACAGCCACATCCCTGCGTCCCCGTGTGCCGCCGTCTGGCGCGTCCCCACTCTCCTGCTGCGAGCGGTAGTAGAAGACGGCATCTGTCATGGCCCGATCCTCCCCCACTGCCACGGAGCGGCACGGCCGCTCTGCCACCCTGGGGCTCTTGCCTGGCCAAGCCCTGGCGTTCCGCTCCGGCACTGCCAGCTTCTCTGTCAGCTTCCTCAGCTCTGCAATTTTGCTCGTTCGCCCCTTCACTGGCTCTGCTTCACTCTCTGGCCCTGTACGGGGCCCCTCCTCACCCCCTGCCTCAGAGCCACAGGGGTGATACAATGCCTCGCCGGGCTCTGCCGACAGCTTCTCCAGCAACTTTGCCTTCTCCCTCTTCAGCTCGCAGATCTGCATCTCCAGGAGGGGGATGGTTTTCACCTGCTCCTCCAGGTCCCGGAGCTGCCGCAGGGCTGCAGCCATCTGCTCCCGCACGTGCTGCAGCGGGGCCGTGCCGAGCCCTGCAGCGGGAGTGCTGCGCCCCGAGCTGCCGGGGCTCACCCGGCCCCAGCCCACCTGGCCCTCGGCGCCCACTGGCACCCAGTGGGGTGGCTGGCCCAGGGCACCCGGCAGGCCAACGTGGGAGAGACCACCAATATCCTGCAAACGGCCCTGCTCCTGCTCCAGCCTCCTGCTTGTCTCCAGCAAGGTCTTCTCCACCCGTGGGTTTGGCACGAGGCACTTGCGGGTGGGAGGTGGGAGCAGCCGCACTGGCGGTGGCGAGATGGGGTGGGAGGTTGGCTTGCTCGCAGGCTCCGGGGCTGCTCGGCCGTGCGGGGACAGCAGCAGCGCAGTCCTGCCCTCCTCGCTGGCCGTGGAGGTGAGCGACTCGGTGGAGGTCCAGGCGCTGGCGTGGCTGCTGGGGCTGCGCAGTGTGCTGGGTGGTGCACGGGACCCTTTCACCCTGCGAGGCAGCGGCACTTTCTTGAGTGTTTGGCCACTTTCAATATCATCAACATATTTCAGGAAATCAAGGTCCAGCAGGAAGCCATAAGGAGTTTCCACAGAATATGAGCTCTTCTCTCCATTGTCCTGGTCCCGATACAAGAATGGGCCCCCAAGATCTGCAAGAGGAGAAGGGACAGTGGAGTTAGTGGAGACAGGATGGCTTTTCTAACTGGGTTGTACTGGAATTTACAGCCTGCAGGCCCATCTCCTCCATGATGTGCCATGGGTCTGTCTCCAGCACCCTCAGTAGGGTGCTGTAGGGTATCACAGGGCACACAGTCCATGTCAGGTTTGGTGCTGAAGTGAGGAACTCCACTGGGATGGGACGGGACAGGTCAGCCCTGCCACCCCCCTTGCACCCCTTCCACTGTCACTACCTGGTGACAACCCTGGTCACTTTACCTGGGAGGTTCTGGTTCAGGGGTGCCGGCTGAGCCATCTTCTTCCCGGAATGCTGCTGACCAGAAGACCATCAACCTGCAACGAGACCACGTCCAGCCAAACCCTGTAACCGCAGGGCTGGTGAGCCCCAGGCAGCCACACTGCCCTGACCCCCTGGGAGAGCCCTGTGGCTGCCCCCTGCCATTTGCCAGGTCCCCAGGCTCCCCCAGCCCAGGGCTGACGCTGGAGCTGGTGGCTGGGCGAGTGCGGTGCTGCCTGTGGTGCCAGGATTGTTTGTACATTTAAGGAATGCTCCACAGCTCAGCTGGCATGGCCGTGCTGCCAGCTCCGAGGGTCACGAGTTGGAGCTTGGCCATACAGTGGGAGCAGGCCAGGAAAGAAAAGAGGCTGAAACCTGTATAGGTGCAAAGCCCTGAGCAAAACCTCACTCAGTCTGAGGTTTGCTTTGGATAAAGGGAAACGATGCTTTGGCAAAGGCTCGAGACTGCAGGGAGCAGCCAGCACCTGTCAGTGCTGGGTGTGATGCCCATTCATGCCACCCAGGGTGCCCCACAAGGCCTCAGGAGTGTCCTGAGGGGCCAATCACCCCCAGGGGGGACCTGACTGCTTTCCCCTGCCCCTAATGTGGGATAAGGCAGAGGGGAATGAAATGGGAGCCTGGTTTTCCCAGGAGCCAGGCACAGACACACTGGAGGAGGACCAAGAGGATACGGCTGTGGTCCAGAAGGGAGATCATGGCTGGGGGTGCGACCAGCTGTGAGCACTGAGCTAGGACCTGCTGCAACATCTGGCAGCATCTGGATGCTGGGGCCCAGGTGTGAAGTGCTCCTGGCAGGAGCAGGACAGGACGACAGCAGCTTGGGAGCACCCATTGCTGCTGTGCATGGCACCAGAGTTCTGATGGCTGTGCTCATGGGGCACAGGTGGCCATGGGGCTGAGCAGCTGTTGGTGGGCAAAGCATTTGGCACTGGGCTATTTTCAGAAGAAAGCAGGGGAGGAGAGATGCCACAGAGGAATGGTGGCTTGGGCACAGCCCTCAGGGAAGCTGAGGCTCAGAGCCGCCCAGGGAACAGCGCAGGATGTGGCCTTGGCTACACAGAAACACCCACGTGTGCCCCTCACACCACTGCTGCCGCCATGCCCCCACTTTCAGTCTGCCCCTCACGCCAATGCTGCAGCCATGCTCCAGCCCTCAGCCCCCTGACCCTATGGAGCAGCTGAGGCAGCACCAGGCCAGGCTCAGGCTGGGCACTGAGTTCAACGAGGCAGGGATAAAACACTTCCCACTAGGACAGATTCTGGGGCTCTCCCACTCCTCTGCCAACCCACCCACAGCCAATGCACATCCCAAATTCCACCTTCCTTGGAATCATCCCACCTTCGAGCAGGCATCCATTCCACCTCCCTGGTAATATCCCTGCTGGCATCCACCATTCCCAAGCTGCTGGCTTCATGCCCAAGAGGGTCCACACATCCCCCACTTCCTCTCATCCCTCCCACCCTGGGAAGAGTCTGGCTTCCTCCTCTGCATGGTCCTTGCTGCAGGTAATTAAACAGTGCTGGGGCCAGGACAAACTTCCCCTGGGCTCCACACACGTTGTAAATCAAAGAGGAAGAGAGAGCAGCAGGGGCCAGAGGCAGCGGGAGCGTTTCCTCAGGGGGAAGTGGCCGGCAGCTCCCTTCCGCCGCCCAGCCTGGCCATTGTCCTGCCTGGGGACAGGAAAAGCCTCCTCTGCCAAGGCCTGGACACCTCCCACACCACTCCAGCTGCAAAGGGGCCCTTTGCACCAGCACTGCACTGGTGTCCCCTCCACTGAGCTGGGGACAGGCTGCTTGTCACCTGTCACCTACCACCTCCTGTGGCCCCTTCAGCCAATGTCTGCAGCTGCATCCCAACTGTGGGGGACATCCTCCCACTGCTTCCAGACCCCATTTCTTTTGGTCTGATAGGATGGGCTGGACCAGGGCACGAGTTTCTGTCTTCACCCAGCTCCAAAAATGGTGATGGGACCTGCCAGCTACCAACCATGGCCAAGTGGCCCCAGGGACTCCATTGATGTTCAAACCCTCCTGCAAGGAGCAAAAAACCCCCAGGTTCCTTGGGCTGTGCAAACTGTCCCTGGGCTGGGGAAGATGTGTGGGGCTGGACTGGACAAGTCGGGGCAGATGTCCCAGTGTGCAGCAGGTTGAGCCCCCACACCTGTGGCCCAGCCACTGTCAGCACCAGCTGGACCTGGCTGCCACACCCATGGCACCACACAGGCAGCCACCCTTGACCCGGGCTGAAGTCTTGCTGGGGCCAATTCTATCAGCCACTTTGGTGCCAAAGGCTGATTTTCAGCAGCTTCAGCTGCTCCCTTGGGCACTGGTACAGGTTGCTGAAGGGCCTGGGCACATGCACCCCTGTGGGAGCCCTTCCACCATCCCAGCTCTCTTTGGAAGCAATGAGTGTTATTTCTAGTGCTGGTGTTTCAACAGAAAAGTGGGATGGTGCAAGCAAAGGACTGGTAGAGAGGTTTGGCAGCGAGGGGGAGAGGAGGAGGATGCACAGGCACCCAACCAGCCCCATGGAGGCAGGGCTGTGTTTTGCCCTGGGCTCACACCTGTATTTTCCCCCATGCTGTTGTACCGATGGGAAACATGGGGCCAAAACTGGAGCTGCTCTGCTCAATTGCAATCAGAAGTCATATCAGGGATGAGGGAGGCAGGGCACCCTGGCACAGCCCAGGCACCACCTGGGCCTCGTGCCCCAGCCCCAGCTGCAAGGCAGCACTGTGTGAGCCCTGGCCTCATGGGGCAATTTCCCCTTGGGCTTCCCAAGCTCCTGGACTGGCAGAGGAGAGGTCAGGGAGAGCTGTTCCTAAAGCTGGAGACCTTTGTGCCCTTTTCCTGGGGGGGCACAGCTGTAGCAGCCCTCAGCCCGGTTCAACCACCTGCTGCAGCACAGCCTGAGCTGCTCCACCGGCGGGGCCAGGCCTGGACACAGAGAGGGCTCTCCCTGGCTCTCCTCCTGAGCCAAAATACTGAGGTCATGAGGAATGTGAGAAGAACAGAGTCCAGAGCAGCCCTGGCCAGCACAACTTGATTTATCTCAGCCAGGCATGCTTCCCTCGTAGCTGAGCAGGCGATAAGCCCTGAAGCTTGGAACTGAGGCTGTTCCAAAGTTAAGGGGAAACCACTGAGCAAGCACACGGCTTCTTCCCCTGCCAGCAGCCTTGCCAGGATTCAGGCTCCTCACACAGCCAGCTGTCACACGTGCTTGTCACCTGCAGTGTTACCTGCCAGCACTGTGGCTGGGTGCAGCAGTAGTTATCCAGGGCTTAGGCCACCTTCGTGTCCCTGTCCCTGCTGCAGGGGCTCTGTGGGACAACCTGTGCCTATTTGCCCAGGCAGCTGTGGCCAGCTGTCTGTGCTGGAGCTGCTCCTGGAAGAGCTGGATCCAGGTGGGTGGGTGCACAATGCTGACCCAGGGAGAGAAAGGGAAATTATCATCTCAACAGCCTGATTTCAGGGTTGGACTGTTATTTCTGGAGTTGTCGTCATCGATGGCCCGGTTGGCTGGGAGGCCAAAGGGGCCGCCCAGGCTCTGCACCCACTCCAGCCCCTCACCCCTGAGCTCACTCACAACAGGTGTAGAGTGCACACACAAACTTACCCACGTGGGGATCAGCTCTACCAGCCCCCTCACACCTACAGCACTATAGGCTCCCTACAGCTTCACTAGAGAACATCAGCCCCTCTCCTTGCTGCCCAGCAGCACCTTCCACCAACACCTCCCGATTCCCTCGGGGCTGCATCAGCAGCGATGGCCTGGGCTTGTCCTGCTGTGAGGAGGGGCTCGGAGATCAAACTAAATTTACACGCGGGAAGCTGAGGAACAGCCGGAGTACACCCAGAGCTCCGTGCACAACGCCGGGGTGGGATCTCCATGTG